GCCAATGTCATCTCACTCGATTCCCTGTCCATTTACACCATACTCATTCAAATATGTTAAACACCGCTCTCTTAACCTTTGCAATTTTGGAATTGATTGAGCCCGGCAATTTGCGGTTCACTATGAGTCAATGTGCCACGTACAGCTCAAGTTGCCTTCGTTCTCATGGTGGCAACGCCGTGAAACTGACCAGTTGCGACGGTTTTCGGCACATGGTTATTTTAGAATAGGACGCATACGAGATTTGCCGAAACAAGTCCGAGGGGAGGCAACATGCGCTGACAGGTGATGACAACCTGTTTAGTAACTGAAGCGGAGCTGTGCACTAATATAATAGATTCAGAAGCATCTCCGATTTAATGTTTCTGCTTGGCCAGGCCTTACAGTTAGTCAAAGAAATCCATGGATGTACCTTCCCAGTCTATGCTCGCATGAAGCTACTCATAAGTAGTTATAAATCGTTGTCCTAAAGGTTATTGACTCAGTCCCTGAACCGAAAATGAGACTTGCGCAGCGGATGCTGTAACGCACTTTTACGTTTGTGGAATTTGTAGACTAATTAGCTAGATTATCATTGGCCAGGTCCACCAGCGAGGAATGCCACTGTTTTTGCCTGACCATCATGTACCGCTAATTTATGGGAGCATGATGTGGTTAGTCCTGAAGGGCACTGTATTGCATACGTCTCCCTGATTGAGTCTGATCGGGACTGCGCGGGAGGATCTGTTTCGTATGGCTTTGGTAAACGGTTTCAATCGTTTACAACACCACCACACAACAAATAACCACGCCTTAGCAGATGGCGAATGATCTAAGGTGGTCTCCAATTTCAGCTCATGAGATGAACCTGTTGTACTTAACTACTTTCACGGCTATTGACCTGACTGGCACATCTTCGAGCGTTTAAAAATCCATGTCCACCTGGCTTGATACTCGACAGGCCCCTAAGTACCGTAATCCCTCTGCACACCCGTATTTACGAGCCCAAGTAAAGCCGATATTGTACATTCCGGAGGCCATGAAGGGGACAATAATTTCAAGAAAACTCCTTCACGTAGTATTTATGGGGTACCTAGACTTCTTTGCCTATTTTCGTTTCAACATGGAGTTTCTTTTCACAGAGGGAGAGCATGATCGAAATAGGCACACCCGTGAATGGTTCCAACCAGTACACAGGCATCTGTTTCCCCAGTACCACACCTGTTGATGTACTTATCGTTAGACAGTTTTCAGACATCCATGAAAGATTTACTATCCGTCCATCTCAGTCATTCTTAGACTAAGGAAGCCCCTGGGAGGCGTCGATACCAGCTTCCCCAAAACCTGCATACCTCCACTAAAAATACCGTGAATGGAGCCGTGTAACTGTAACCAGTACACGAACTGTAAACGGTGTATATCTGAAACGGAGGAAGAACAGTAGGAACCTGATCCCTGGGAAAACCTCATCAGGCTGTTCCGCGGCAAGTTACAAACAGTAACTGACCCGTGGGATTTTTCGAATTCCCCTTCCATGTGACATCCCAAGTAATAAAATCACCAGTCCCAAAATGGATCGTTTGTTGGAGTGACTTCCTTGCACGAGCCGAAACAGAAAGTCAATGGAGGGAGAATGATGTAGGATTGTATGTTGTAGTCTCCGCCACTCCGGATCAAATAAGTTATGGTCGGTTTCAGTAGGTTGGGAGTTTTAATTGGTTTGAGGTCACTATGTGACTATGATCTATGGCTTAAGTAACTGGCATAGTTGATAAGACTTGGAGTTCTAAGTGAGTTATGTTACATGCAGTTGCCTTGACCGACATGTGTGGTTGTCACAGCCAACCACGTAGTTGACATGTGTCCTCTGACATTGCGACTGGTGCACTGGAGGGGTGAGATGGTTCTGAAGGTGTAGGCACATGAATAATGCTTGTTTTAATCAAGTTCCTGTGGAAGAAATCGATGATTCTGAAAGGCCGACCAAGGTTGCATGCCTATGGCCGAGTATATTGTGTTTTTGGTTTTGTTGGGCATTTTATAAACCCAGTGTTACCTTCATTTCCCGGCTGGTGTGCCGAGTCCTTTAGACAGTGGCCCTAGGTTGACTGTCAACCGCCCCGGGCTTTGAAACATACACGGAGTCCGTGCTTTTATCTATAGGAACGTGACATTCGTGCAGAACCATAAGTCGTCGCACCGTGTTGCCTTTTAATGCATCTAATGCAAGTAGGATGTCCCAACATGAAATCCAACCACCGATCGGACTGTGTTGGCTCCCTGTCTGGGTAGTTCGACACTATCAAAGACCTGCAGGGAGGCTGATGTTTTCATTCCGCGTCTCACACTAAACGTACTACTGCTGGATATTCCAGTAATTCGAGATAATGCGGACAGTTAGAGGCTTGTCGTAGTCATTGAAACAAGTGTTCTCATAGCAACACTGTTCGTCCAATTGAGAAGGCATCACTCGAGGATCCAGTGGACACCTGGTCAAGTGATGTGATCCCCGTGATTGAAGTATGAGTAGCGCTACAGCCTGTCTAGGTGAAAGTCAGTTAGAATGCTGATCAGCAGCCCATGACTGAACGGTTAAATGTTCAAACTACTAAACCGGGTTCGAAACTCTCCGAGTTTCGTGAGGAAAGTACCGCTGATGAGTCCCCATAAGGATGAAAGACGTGTGCATTGCTTCTCCGATTTTCAGCATAGGTTGGTCTCACTAGTTGTCGTTTATTTTTGAAGAGCATAGTAACAGACTTAGAAAGTAAATCCGGGCGATAGATCTGGAAGCGTGTACAGGAGAATATTAGGTAAAACGAGGGAAGCGTCTCATTCGAATGCGTGCCTTTAACAGTTCCAGTCAGATGAGACGTATCGGGAAGGCTGATGTTTTCATTCCGCGTCTCACACTAAACGTACTACTGCTGGATATTCCAGTAATTCGAGATAATGCGGACAGTTAGAGGCTTGTCGTAGTCATTGAAACAAGTGTTCTCATAGCAACACTGTTCGTCCAATTGAGAAGGCATCACTCGAGGATCCAGTGGACACCTGGTCAAGTGATGTGATCCCCGTGATTGAAGTATGAGTAGCGCTACAGCCTGTCTAGGTGAAAGTCAGTTAGAATGCTGATCAGCAGCCCATGACTGAACGGTTAAATGTTCAAACTACTAAACCGGGTTCGAAACTCTCCGAGTTTCGTGAGGAAAGTACCGCTGATGAGTCCCCATAAGGATGAAAGACGTGTGCATTGCTTCTCCGATTTTCAGCATAGGTTGGTCTCACTAGTTGTCGTTTATTTTTGAAGAGCATAGTAACAGACTTAGAAAGTAAATCCGGGCGATAGATCTGGAAGCGTGTACAGGAGAATATTAGGTAAAACGAGGGAAGCGTCTCATTCGAATGCGTGCCTTTAACAGTTCCAGTCAGATGAGACGTAGCCTAACGCATGTAAAAATTTTGGTATGGAAACACGCGTGTGAAGGCCAGTAACCGAAGAGAGGACAAACGATGCTGAATGCTCTTCGAGGCGCGGTAAGCGCTAGCGCAGTCAAGATTCCAACATCAAGAGCAGAGTGTCCGTCATACTGGATCAGATGTGTAAGTCAAAAGCAAGAATGAATACTCAGCGCCACGTACCACGCATAAAAATGTCGTAAGTACCTAGAGAGCCTATAATGGTAAGCAGACACAAGTCCCAGTCCAATAACAGCCCTGGCGAACTGAGGAAAGCAGATCCCTCGATAAGAAGTGACTGTCGGTTGGTGGGCCAAAAAGTCGACATCACAACTGACTGCACGTAGAACTTAGATTATGATAAGGGAACATTCGTCAGTACCATACTTCTGCTTTTTCTCATTCCACACAGTTAATTGGCACCCATCCGAGACTATGTTTACATCTATCACAGTTGCTTAGCGTTTCCTAACAGCGATTAGGTCAGGCACGATGAAAGACGTCGACGTAGGTGCTTCCAACTTCTCGAAAACTGTGTATCACAGGTGACGGAGACGTTTCGTGAGTCCCCTTACAACCCGATTATGACGAGCATTTAGGTCAGGCACGATGAAAGACGTCTACGTAGGTGCTTCCAACTTCTCGAAGACGTTTCGTGAGTCCCTTTACAACCCGATTATGACGAGCACGTCTGGCATAATGAGTGATCCAGCAGGACTATAGAATATGCACCAAAATCTGCTGTTGGCCACAGTTTCCACGAGAGAAGATAGTTTTTCCACCATAACTACGTCGGGCGATTCTAGCTATCGTCCTAAGCAGGTCATATCGGAGCTGGATACCGCGGATAAATATCCAAGTCAACAGTCGTCTTGGAAACACAAGCCATCGATTCGACAGAGGGGAAGCGATAAACTCACGTAAACCGCGACCGTCAATGCCGTTGTGCAGACTTTCGCCCCAAGAAGCCACCAATTCTTCCTTGGTGTTTATGCATGCACCTTAGACTCGGATTTGAGACCCCGAACGATCTTGCCAAAAGCGGAGTCATTGACCATACTGCGTAGTACTTGGCATTGGATGGACAGAAGCTTTTCCAAACGTACTCTCCGCTGCATCAGGATGGTTGCACTCAGACTTGGGATACGAATTCCCCATGTTGTTTGCCGGCGTGGATATAGCTGATTGGGTTTTCCTCCGGTAGACGTAGGTAGCCACAAATAGACTGGCTGCAGCACTTGTCAAACTTTTTGGACTTGTTTCAGTGAATATGGCCACGCACGAGCGAATATGAAAGCCTCGGCATCAAGTAGTTCCTTCTGATCCCCATTCTCTGATGCGACCTCAATGGGGCACGCGTCATCTCACCGAACAGTTTGAGCAGCCGCTTTCGATGGCTGAAGACTCCTTCTCCTTTCGAAAGTAAAGGAGATATTCAGTGAAGTCCGGGTGTCTGTCGGCCCCAGAGGAGTGAAGAGTTCCTCGACGAGGCAAAACGATTCGATTGAGACCGCTGTCACCCGATGCTTCCTGTTACAACAAACCACCACTGGTTTCATCTTTCATACAATTATCTCCATGCTAGCTCTTCCCAACTCAGCTTCAAGCTTCGCTTTAAGACGAGTCTGACTTTCTACACATGCGACCCAGTCGTCAGCGAAGGCAAAACTGTCTACTAAGGTGTCATGGTATCCTAGTTGCGGCACCGATAATCCAAGTGGATTTCCTGCCTCACACATCTGTTGCGGTGAACCCTGAAATTGGATAAAAATGCTGCAGTATTCTCATAGGACTGTGTGATGAAGTTATGTGCTTCCCAACGCCTCGGCAGATCTGACAATTGTGACATGAGAAACCGAGTCAAACGCTTCCGATATATCAACAAACGCCAAGCTGATGTTAGATGCAGTCGCTGAAATGTGACAAAGCGAGGCATATAACAGCGATATAGCTCCCAAACAACCTACTGGGTGTAGAAATGTAAAGTGGAGTGAAGGAAGTTGCAACCTAAGGCTCCAGGGATCAGTAATTACCTTATGAAAGTATCGGACAAGAATGGGTGATACCGAGATCGCTCTCAGTTTGTCCGGTGAAGTCGGATTTGGAACTCTCGGAACTAAGGCTACACGACCATGACACGATACGGTGGACAGTCTCCGGACAACAAGAGTAAGTTAAAGTACCCAGCGAGCACTAAACCGGTGAAGCATCCTGGGCGTGAGCTTGTCCGAACCTGAGGACGAATTGTCTCACCTGTAATTGGCTCCATCAAACTCCAATCGGATGGTAGCACTGCGTGACTTAGCTGGCTACCCACCTGTTTACATTACTGCTCAGTGTCCAGAGGTAGGTGGCAGTTACCTTTTTATAGATCATCCCGTGATCCACTGAGCACAATATCTTTCCGTCTTTAGTGGTATAGGGTCTGAATGGCGGTGTAGTTGTCTCTGCGTCTCTGCTTTCGGTTGGCCGGTACATGATGGGCTAACTGACGGCGACGTCGAGGTGTGTGGAAGGTTTTGGGGGTGTGGAGGTCAAGAAGTGATAAGACCCGCTCCGGTGTCATGATGCCAGATTAGGATCGTCGGGAAAATACCAGAAGGTCAACACTAGCAAGTGAACTGTCAGCATAGGATTCCATGAGTGACACGACACAGTCCACTGTTTGTTTAAAACAGACGCTATATTTATTAGGTTCTGACGACTAGGCCGCTGTTTGACCAATGACTTGGTCAGGGTTACCAAATTGTTCGTCTTGTTACGCTTATCAGGTAAGCACCCGTAAACTGGTTTTGATACTGATAGCCGATCGACATGAAAATACTGCTCCAATCTCGCGAACAGCGCGGATTGCATGTCACCGGAATTCTTCACTCGGGTAAGGTTATCTGTATTATGCTAGGTATGTGCCTGCCAGCGGTGTTGACTGAGGCAAGTCTTTGTCGAAAAAGGCGGGAACAATCAGTGCAAGCCAGCTGGGTGACCACATTCTGGCCAACACTTTCGTGGAAGTGAACTCGACTGTGGGCTATCAAGCTAGCTTTCGAATTGCAGCACTTGCCACATCCCTCACAAGTGAGCCCCACGTGTCTCTAGTGTGTGCTGGTTAGAAGTGGTGCGGTGGCGCCAGATGATTCGTAGTGTACATTGTCGAAGGTAACCAGCCCATTGAAACCAAACAGCGTGGTTAGCCCCATCTGAAGTTGCTGAAATCTGAGCTCACCCAGACTGCGGTCCGGGCTACCCAGTCAGCACCATGAGGAGGTGGTTCAGCGCGCCGGAGAAGTCTTTACTAAAGCTGTTTTTTAGCTGACAGTTCAAAGTGCACTAGTACACTTCCAGACCCCTGAAGACATCGTCAATAGGAAGTGATATACTCTCAGTCCGAATAACGAATAACAAGTCACAAAAAGGTATAATGATTTACACTGAAGTGATCTCAAATCCGGCTGCTGTCAGTGTCAGAGAATTTTCGAAAAATATAAAAGCTCATTATTGTGGCTTACGACTATCGACAAGAACGGTGTGTGTGTTCTTAATCACACTGGTGGTTTGTAGGTTGCACAAGTGGTGACGTTCATTGTTTATCGCAAACGGATATGACAGAGAAAGAGATGAGGGTGTTATCCAAACTTACGTTGCAGCTCCTGGGAATATGTTCTCACTTGAGGCCACGACTTTTTCAATGACTGTGTGGCTTCTGACCCCTCTATCTCTTAGTAGGCAAGTGTTCAAGTGGTTTGATCACCTGATCATCTTTGGTTGTCACAGTGGTCACATAATTCTTGTCAGTTTTGGTGTAAGAGGTGTGATGTCTGTTCTGGGGCCGAACAAAGGTGCCTCTTTCAATCTTGTTCGTCTTGGCCTTGTTTTGTTGCTATTTCAGAATGACGCTATTAATGTGGTATCGGATATCACTCAGCTGATCCAGCAGGAGGATTTAGAGGGCAGGTCCCATTCAGACTTCGCAGTTTTCTCTTACGTAGTATCCTGACATTTCCAATCAATAATTTGCAACTGCATATTCGATACTTGTTAAGAGCTTACGGTAGCCTGAGATAAATTCAATTATACTGTCTATTTGTGGCACAGATTTCGGTCTATTGGTATATTCCCACGGATGGCACATTCTGCTTGTAGTTAGAGTTCATATAGCAGAAGTTCATTGTTGTTTGATGTGCTGGATCACTGCTCCGTTTTCTAAAATCCTGACTGCAATAAAACAAAGAATTAGAAATTTCCAAATACCACACCAAAACGATTACCGAAGATCCAACACGGTCAGTCTGGCCAGAGCATCATACGAATGAACCGAGTTTTTCAACCAGGACTACTAGGATGGTTCTAATATCCGAAACAAAGGCCTAAACGTGACGTGAAAACGCCGTAAGCATCAGTCCGATGTCAGTAAGTTTCAGAAAGCTCCTAAGCATTACCTTGTTAAGAGTGACCGCCCAGCGAAAAAAAGACAGCTTCGCATGAATCAACACGATTTTCGCCTTGACCAGGGATGCACTGACCAAATCTTCACTTTGAGACAATGGCTTCAACAGCGTCAATTTTTCATGTGACTAGCAATGGTAAAACTAGCTGATTTGCAAATTAATCATCATCGACGGCAGAACATCAACGTTCAGCACTGATGCATCGCAGTCATACAACCATAATCTTTTTGAAACCTTCAGGGTGTTAACAAGACACTTAACTGAATCTCTCATGATACTCCCCTAGTAAATGTGCTGCGCATCCGCATGTTTCAGTTGGTATGATATTTGAGATAACGCCGTAAGTTCTCACCATATCACAAGCTACTCATAGGGCGGCTGGGTCAATACTTGTTTCTCCATGAGTGAATAAGCAACTCATATTCTAGTTAAGGCTTTTGAACTTTCTCGCACCGGTAAAAGCTTCCTCCGAAACACCCAAGTCACCTATACCTCCAAAGTCTCCTTAGCAGGCAGTATTTACAGCCGACGACCAACCCACTGCATTCAGGAAAGTCGTTGACCTCGCAGGTCAGGTCGAACACTGAGGCGAAGTGTGTTAGAGGCTGCTACTACTGGTCTAGAATAAGTGACTAAATTCGGCAGCAGTTTCATGACTGCGCTCAAGACAGAAGCGTGACTCACTTTCCCACGGTTTGAAAAGATTGAATGGTGAATATAACAACAGTGTACCCGCCTTCTGATCAATGACGCACAGAATCGATACTTAGTGGTACCTAGGAGGATATCATGTGTTCATTTCCGTGAACCTGTTGAATGCCATATCCAAACTTCAGTTTTCGTAAGCGCATTACGAGCAACAAGTGTTGTAGCCCAGCTAGTCTGTCTTGTTTGAATGCTGTTGTAATGAAACCTTAACGAATGATAGATATTTTATTTGTTTGCCAGCGAATATCATGATATGAGAGGTATTAGTACTGATTGTTTTACTCCTAACTATTTTCGTATCCAGTGGATTATATAACACCATATCAGCAGTTTACAAGATGCAGGTGCTCGCAGCCCAAAAACCACACTGCGCGGACATCTGAAGAGTCCAGACACCAACAGACCACCCAGTGGGGAACGACTTCAAGGCAGTGAAATGCGGTCCAGAGCACGTGCCCTTGCCAGTCTATGGACAACGCTTGTTAACTGTAACAAGTTCATTATGCCGGGACCATTTTGAACCCAGTCGAGCTGCAGCGAGCGTAATCTGGATCGCCTGATAGTGGCATGCAAACTTTGGAAGCTTCGGAGAAAACCAGTAACCTCGGCAAGCGAGATGAAAGTAACGCGATCAATACGTTCGTGGGTCTCGTAGAGCCAATCTAATGCATCCGCAGTCATGATT